CATGCAGAATTACCAGCCAATAAAATTAAGCCTTCGACCGAACTTGGTTATGACTCGGCAGATTTTAATCTGTACTGCCGGAGAACAAATTGACGCAAAGTATAGCACACTGTGCTGCACGCTGTGCTGCAGTATAGAAGAAGAACATCGAGGAAGTCGTAAAGTCAAGCAGCAAGGAGACACCCAGTGCAGTTACAACGTACAGTACTCACTCAGCTCATGCAAACAATGAGTTAAAAACATTCGTTCATTCGGTGGTTCGCACGACAGCATGAATAGCGTCAGAAAAGAGCTTGTTTGATTCAAAATATACAGAAATACACGATATTAGTTGGTGATATTGCAGAAAATATTTTAAAAATATATGAATTGTTCTTTCTTTGGATTCAAGCATAGAGATGAATACAGTTCATAAATTTTCAAATTGAAATGGAACTTTATTGAAAGCTGATCACATTACAGTGTTAATTCGTTCTTCGATAATTTCAGAAAATATATTCGACAACTGATTCTTTAGGTCTTCAAAACTGAATATATGTCGAATAATGTACGATTACAAGTTTTAGGTGATTTTTTTAAACGTTCAAAGGAAGTGGTCAAGACTTATTGATTTTTTTATGAATCAGTTCTGCATATATGATCTGACCAAAGAAAATAAATGCAGGAGAAACTAGGCGTAAACAAGCACCAAAAATGCAAATGGTATGCAGTTCGTGGTGCAGTTCATGGATACTTGGAATAACTTGGTCCTCAAACAACGCTCACAATTTGAATCTCATTTTCAATTCCAAGAAAATTTAAAAATATGAATAAAATGATCATGAACGAATTTTTGATTGAGTTTCCAGTTTAAAACTAATATTGCGTAACGTGCATTTAAGCGCAAAATTAGTAAATTATACTCTTTGATCATATATTATATGAGTATTTCTTGTAAATATACAAAGAAAATTCCACAAAATTTCTTCTTATCGCATTGGTAATTCGGTAATTCATGCATGGAGAACGTGCGTGAATTGAAAATTAAAAAAATTAGCACTATGAAAGCGTTTATCTAAGCTTGGTACAAAGTAAGATTTAGCTTCAACTATTTCCTAGCTGTTCTTGTCATGAATCGCAAGATTAATATATGTATTTTCAAAAATTAAATTTTCTTCATGGAATGTTCATAAAATTCAAATGGATTTGAACAAATTCAGACTAGTCAATAAATTTGATTGATAGTTCGCAGTAATAATTTTAGTTAACATTTTTTTCTTAGTTTTGTACTGATTGTTAGTTAAGCTGCTCCTGATTTCTGTGATGATTGCGATGATGAGAAGTCTTAATTTCACGATTCTAATTGTTCCTGTAATTAATTTTGGTTTTGTGAAAGCTAAGTTAACATTATCTTTATTAATTAGTGTTCGATCTATAAAAGCGATCGATTAGCCGAAAAATTCAGAAATACAAAAAGTTAGACGCTGGTTGCGATGCAGATTTCTGATGCGACATTGATGCATTTTTTCAATTAATTTCTGTTATTAATTCAAGTTCAGCTCGTATTAATAACAGTCATCGTAAAACTGAAGTTTAAACGTTAAAAATCATCATGTAGCATGCCAACATTCGCTCACTTCATTCAATTTTCTTATTCTTTACTGTTTAGTGATAATTTCCAACTTGTGCGCGTATTTTTTTTTAAATTTATATCTTCCCAAAAACACATTAAAAATTTTTACACAAGAAAGTAAGTGATGGTAGTGACTAATTTCCTTAGGGTAGAACATAAAAATTGAATATTCATTTCATGAAGATGTAAAATTCATTTCATGAAGATGTAAAATTCATTTCATGAATTAGTAAAAATATAACTCAGTACTCACTGCTGTGAGTGACAGAGAGCGCATTTTCTCGTCCGCCCGTGACGTGAAGTCACGGACGAATGTCACGGGCGGACATGACGAGCACAATAGCGCCTTTTTTCCATAAATGAGAAAATGCGCTAAAAATGACAGGATAACTCATACAAAGAGGGTCACCAACTAAGTGCAAGAACATTTACATTTCCACTGGACGGAATGGTTTTATTTGTTTTTTATTATTTTTGTTTACTCGGTGAAAAAGAAATAAACATCACACTAATTAATGAGAATGCGTTAGTGGATCTAGAACTCTAGTTGACCATGATTACTCACTACAATTTCTTTCAAACAGTAGAATGTTTAATTTAAAGATATTTTTGCTATAGTCAAAGCAGCATTGATTTTAAATTCATTATTTATTCCATGATTGTTTTTGAGAGCAAAACACAAGAACACTGAGATCATCCAGCGCGCCCAGGCTGCTGATCAACAACAGCGAGCAAACATTGCACTTACATGTTAATATAAGCCTGTGCTTTTGGTAATCAAAATAAGTTATTCAATACGAAATATTTGTGGGTGAGGAGTGTAAGACATACAGCCGAGCTATGCATACAGAGAGCCACTTGTTGTGGATGGAAGAGCAACAGGAGCCAAAAAGGTTACAAATTTGTGATGAACGTATACAGCGGAGGGTCGTAAAATAATGCCAATTCGTAAAGGTCAAAAGTTAGTCGATATAATACGAGCTGAACTGGAATTTTTCACAGTTGTTAAGAAGGGTGAGGTTTCAGAGATAAGAAGAGTGAGGTATTATTAGAAACGTGAAGAAGTGTTAGAAATTAGATCACAACTATTAGAAATTAGATCAGAACTATTAGAAATTAGAAATATGAAGTGTGAGGTAATAGAGATAAGAAGGGTGAAGTATTAGAAATAAGAAAGGTGAGGTTTCAGAGATAAGAAGGGTGTGTATTAGAAATAAGAAGGGTAAGGTATGATTGGATTCATTTAACATGTATCCTACTGAAATGAATCTGTATCATTATTGTTTAGGATTAGTCCTATATGATATCTGTCACGAAATTAAAATACTCAGCATTTGTTTGGAAATTATTAACATCAAGCACCAGCATAGAAGCATTCACGACAAATTATATTAGAAATACTACTGACTAAAGAAATAACAACTGAAGAATGAGATACATACTAGGTATAATTAATTCAATATTTTCCTGGACTGTAAAGAAACGCTATGCCAATTACAGTGTCCTTTAAAGTTCAAAGAAATCAGTAGGAAGACAGTTTAATATGGATGGAATGCAAAAAATCCATGAAACAGATAGCCACTTCTATTGGATTGATAAAATTTTTCCTAAGTAAATAGAAAGCGTTTACGGATGTTCTTTATTGAGTCCACCCATAAATAAATAACCACTTCGAGGGATTGATAAAATAGCTCGGTGGCAGTGAAATATCTTCATAGAACTGACCACATCTTATCTAAATGAGGTCGTATTTTAGTGCGGGGCACTGCAGGCTCACATGTAACTGATAGCTCAGGATATGCACGTGTCTTATATTGACAAATGCCGGTGCTGACCCCATAAACATAGAGTTTATTTACACTGTTATACTATCGTCTTATGTCTCTCTCCCAGGCGTGTACGTGGTTCTGCATTAGATATCCAATTGGGGCAAAATGAGCTGGCACTTCTGTTTGACTCTTCAATGCACGTGTGGATAATAAATTTGGGGAGTATATGTATTCCGGTTGATGAAGAAAGTTTTCCTCGTGGGTGTGAAATGGTTCATATGTGAAAAAACTTTAATGACGGAATAACTTACAATGCATTAGTTCATTATTAATTGATGATTAGACAAAAAAGTGTGGGCATTTAAGCTTCACTCGAATACTTTCCTCAATGATATTATTTACGCTATTATTTACGCGCATAAGTCAGATGCACAGAACAGATCTGCCTCCATGGAGTATACCTCATCAAAGGATACGGGGATAAATAAGATATAATTTTAATATTAACAGATCTGCCTCCATGGAGTATACCTCATCAAAGGATACGGGGATAAATAAGATATAATTTTAATATTATTTTATATTAAGGATTATTGGTGTTTATTTATGAATCTTATGAATCCTGACATGTGATTAACACCCAAAAATATTTGAGACCTTGAAATTACGCAACTTATTGGTGCTTGCAGCGCTGGAAAAAAGTTACTTCCGAGCAACAGTTGCGGTTGTTATTATTTGAGCGTTTGAACGCTATACTTCGATTTTTTTATTCAATTTCGTTGTAAAATGTGCTGAAATTCACGCACTGTGCTACTGACTGTTATATTACTGTTACCAATTTCTAAGATACTTCATGACTTCAATAAATACAAAATAAGGACTCGACTATCTGCAGAATTAATCAGAATGACATAAACCATATACAAAAGGAAATTATTGGCAACCAAGCATTAACAACGGTTGGGTCTCCTCGTTCAATTCATTTTATACAAATTTCCAACAGTCGGTGACAACGGCTCGAAAGGCGTGTTATCTGTGAATTTTAGTTAAACAGATGTACTCATGCAACGGGTAAAAATTTTATATTCCAGACCAACAATCATTAATATATATTATACGGTGTGGCTGCATACGGTATACGCATATATATTATACGGTTTTTAGAATAAATCCATTCATGCCCATTGGAAATACGCTCCTACAAAGATTATTAAATCATAGTATGCAGAGAAGTACTACAAATCACTATTACCTCACATCGCTGCAATGATAAGTCAAAGATTTCAATTAAATTCAGTGAAGATTGTCGATAGGTGTTTTTCCTTCCCTTGCGTATAAATTGAAATGACACTGCATAGTGGTACTTTATTATGGGGAGTTATACACTACAAATATTCCATAGTTCATTATTCAACTCCGTAAAATTTATCTAATAGTATTATGGAAACTTGTAAAAATTGATTCAATGTGAACTCATGCCAGAAAAGACGTTACGTGATTCTTTTGTTTTTACCGAAGAACTCAGAAAACGTCTCAGGCACAGTCATTTCCTGCACAAAATGTCTATGAATTGATTAATAATTAATGGCAGGCAAAATGCATTAACATTAGTGACTGACCATCTTTGCTGACGAGGCTCTGCTGGAGGATGCGATGACTAGTCTTACGATTCTTGAGACTAGCGTCTTCGTCTTGGTAGTCAGTCTCTAGGACGGTGGGCTCGTTGCCGTCCTGTCTGTTACGAGGGGGTGCTACGAGCCCGTTACGAGACGAGGCATCGAGCCCGTTACGAGACGAGACATCGAGCCCGTTACGAGACGAGGCATCGAGCCCGTTACGAGACGAGGCATCGAGCCCGTTACGAGACGAGGCATCGAGCCCGTTACGAGACGAGGCATTGAGCCCGTTGCGAGACGAGACATCAAGCCCGTTACGAGACGTTGGTCTTTGGCTAAGTCTCGGTGTCAGCGCCTCAAGCTGGGCAACGTCGCGGTCAAGCTTGATCAGGCGCTCAGAGTCGTCGTGCAAATCTTCGATGCGTTGGACGCCATGTCGGCTGCTGGCGTGCAGGACGCGGTCAGAATAATGGACGCTGTTGTCCCTGTGTTTGAAAGAGAAAAAATCTATACAGATAAAAACTCAGGATACAAAAATAGAATACTCGCATGTTTTTTCTGACCAAGAAAAATCGTAAAATGCAAATTTTATGTTCATCCTTGGCTGCGCTGTTTGGAACTAACTTCTCGGTACATAGTCTTAAAATGTCCTGTGAGCGAGTTCCATCGTTCTTCAGTTCGAATATTAAAAATAATTTTGAGTAAACTGTTTATAAATTATTTAATATTTTAGCAGCAGAATTGGTTGTCTGTAGGAGGTTAAGTTTTGCTATGTTTCACCTTGAACATTAATTTTCACTCTTTTCATTTTGATGATTAACTGCATTTTGCAATGTAGAGGACAGTTCTGAAAACATAATTTATATTCTATTGTATCAAAACATTCAAGGAAAAGTATGATAAAAATTGCGATGCGCGAGTTAGATGAAGTGCACCTAATAAATATAACAACTATTGAAGTGATTTGCAGTGAGCATGATTTGCAGTGAACATGATTTGTAGTGAACATGATTTGCAATGAACATGATTCGCAGTGNATCTAGATGTGTATAAGAGACAGGAACATGATTCGCAGTGAACATGATTCGCAGTGAACATGATTTGCAGTGAACATGATTTGCAGTGAACATGATTTGCAGTGAACATGATTTGCAATGAACATGATTCGCAGTGAACATGATTTGCAGTGAACATGATTTGCAGTGAACATGATTTGCAGTGAACAGTTAATAGTTAGTGCAGTTATAATAGTGCAGCTAATTTTATTTGCATAGGCTCCGTCATGCGATGTTTACAAGAGACATCAGCGAAATTGTGACATTGACTTTGTCGTTCCTTAGAAATTAAACGATTATATGTAGATGTGATTGATGCCTCAAGTGATAGCATTCATTTTTACGCTAAATATTTATGTATAGAAATAGCGAACAGCAAAAAGCAATTTAGCTCTCATATTCTGCTTTGTTTGGATAGATATGTATTTTTGGCAGATCTGTCTGGTCACAGCCCGCATCACTAGTCATAAAAAACTTGAAATTTGATTCAAAAAAATTTTGCTTGTTTGGTGATTCTGCAGCAGGAAGTGATTGAATATGACCAAGAGTAAGTAATTCCTTCGAAAAATTGCAGCTAATTCTTGATTCCCTATTAAAAGCTGTCAATCCGAATGAACGATAGTGGCTGTTAGTTGTTAAAACACTTCCTGACTAGATGGGTTTTCTGACAGTTGATTGCTAGTATCGGTGGGCATTGGGTGAATAGCCTTAATTAATTTAATGGATTGGACAATTTCTTGGTACCAGAAGTTATATTATTATGGAAATTAAAGTTATTTGAATATTCACTATATATTCTCAACTCACCTATACCTTGACGGAAAATTGTTGTGTCGATGGTGGTTGCCGGGATGCTCGTGATGACGATCCTGAGATAGGGAATGAAAGAAAGAGGAAATTAATGAAAATAATGATATTAATATAAAATTGAGGTTAAAATACAAGGACCATAACGATACCTTTAATTCAATCAGAAGCTTAGCGTACCTAAATACAAAGCGCGGTAGGATGTTAGCATTTCAGTGCAGATTCTCCAAACCAAATGTCATTAAATATTCCACGGGTGCGCTGGAGCCTGGCACTGGAATGTCATGAACGATAAAGAACAAAGTTATAACTCGTCTGTAAATTTATAGTCACTTGATTACAAGCAAACCTGTTTTGAATTCTGATGAGGTCAAAATATAAGATAAATCTTCCGCAGCAGTAGTAAAATGTGTTTCGTATTTGCATTTAGTCATCAAGATCTTCCGCGAAATTTTAAGCCCTGAGCTCGCATATAGTAGAATTTTGCAGCAGAAGTGAAAATTCACGTCACTCTCGAATTATAAAGTCACAAGAAACAATCCCCAGGTACGAAAATTCGTAAGAATATCTCAATGAGAATCGAGCGTCGTTAAAACCAATGAAATACAATGCTATAAAACTTTGAAACAAAATTTAAGATCTACTTTGAACTCGAGAAAAGGCATCCGATTCAAACTGGGTGGGAACAAAATAATACATTTTCGACAATCACAAAATCACAAACTATTCTCGTTTATGTTCTGCTGCCGAGCAGTGGGGTTCCACCTCTGACTTTAAATAGAGAGAGTCGATGAACGTGAAATGAACGCATTTAGCAAAGGCAAGACTCACATAGCCAATAGGATCTGAACAATGAATGGGCTCTTGTGTGCGGGATTTGAGCCGTCATTGAGGGTCACTTAGCGTGGAGGAAGCGAGTCCAATAAATTTGTGCTCTTCCAAGCCACCAACAATGGTTATGTCTGCTGCTCCGTGGTCCCTATTGCGTTTACAATCGTCGGTTTGCTCAGCAGCCAGCACAGATGTACGAAATTGTTCGGGATTAAAGAAATACAGATATTTCAAATAGCCGTTTTGCAGGCCTCCTATCACGAACTGTTTGGCTTGGACCCAGCATTATGGATGAAATAGTTCAAAGTTTTCGTGGAGAAGCAAGGATTAGCGTTCGAGATTTACACACATAGCTCGAAAAATAAAGAGACAGGAGAGTATTCACCGAAACATGATGACAGATTTCATTAATGTTGTCTCATTCGACGAAACAACGTGTTTTATTCTATTCACACTGCATATGTTTCAACTGATCAAAATTACCCACGCTTCGATAATACTAACATTGATGGCAGTTCATGAGCTATATATCTGTATTAATTTGTGTATTCATTGCATTATTACGTAGCAAATTCTCAAAATTTATGAACGGAACCAACGGAAAATTTTCCCAACAGCTATGAGCTGATCGCGTTAGTAACGACGATTGTATCCGAAATGACGAACTGGAATCGATATTCGCGCTCCCAGTGAACTAAATTGCATAAACATAAATTGCAACCAACGGCTTGGCCTGTCTAAGAGAATCTCTTTTACGATCTCGTGCCTCAATGTATTGGGCAGCGACGAGGGTAGTCCCCCTGGCGCTTGTAAATTGGTATTTGTAAACAACCTCGAGCAGACCGCACGGCAGGCTTGGGTATAACAACGCGCTCTGCATCATCACGCGCCACGGAACTGCTTGTACGTCACACCTTTACGGTGCAATGAAGACAATCACCGGCGTATTATCGACGGCATTAGTTGTATGTTTATTGGTTAGTAACAGGAAGATAACATTTTATTTTTATTTCTCTTCTCATAGAGAAAAATATGATTCTATTCATGCATAAATCTGAAGATAGATTGATCTAAATATCAATCAACTGTTGAGAAAATTTTAGGATTGCATCTTCTAACCTCAGATACGAAATTATTTTTCAATTTATTTATTTAAGTTTTAGTGGATCCTACTCTCAGCAAAAATAATGAGATAATATCATGGGCATTGCATGTAGTACTTCTGGCGGTTGGATCACAAATCGATATGCCTTCAAGGTTCCCCAACAATCTTCCCTTCAAACAAACGTGCAATTATCGTTTTTCTGCACACATAATCAGAGTTGCTTCAGTATGGGACAATGTATGAAATGCACAGCCCTATTTAATCGATTACACGGCAAGCGCTCGTTTAACCGATTGCGGTTATTAAAGGGATTGCGTTCGGAATTCAAGACTCGTACATTAATATCAGTTAAAGTTTGCCCTCATCTGTCAGGTCAGATATTTTTCCAAAAAGGTGTGTAATTAAAATATTTTGATGCATATCCCTCCATCCGGGATGGTTGGTAGCGAACGTTTTGTTCAGCCCCTCGTGACGCAAGCGATCGTTGCAGGCGGAAACAAGTGGTTTGTCGCTTACGCCATAAAATTCCGTAATTCCGAAGTGACGTCAACGTTGAAGATAGAATAAGAAAATATTATGGAATCGTGATATGCTCAATACCCATTCCGTCGATCGTACATCATGAAAAATTATCACTAGTGCAACTATGAAGAAATATTTCCCAACACAAAAAGTTCTGGTGACCTCAACAGCCATGAGACAGTGAGCCTTGGTTTGAGGCTATGCATTTGTGGTATGGGCATCGCTAGTCGATTCCCAACAGTGTTGTTCAGTTGCACGGAACTCTGCTCATGACTTTAAATTGCATACAATTTGTGTCGTGTTTTCATGGGCGTATGTTTAGCGTCAGCTTGAAGCCCTTCGTTTTTCAGAAGGAGAAATGCAGCTCCGTTCCAATATTGAAGTCATGCCGAGAATTCTGATACAGTTTTTGCAGTACAGATAACTTGAATAGCAGAAAGATATTGACTATTTAACAGCTTCTTCAAAGCGAAGCCATTTTCGGTCCGCATTCAATACCAAATTGTTTTAGAGTCATTCAATAATCAAAAACTTAAATTCGCAATTTCCCAAAGGAAGACACTTTCGCCAGGGAAAAAGTATCAGACATGCCGGCAGCTGCCCCAAGCGATTAGGGTCCCGCCCCACGAAGTCGCTTCAGACGAGGCTTGTCTGCTCTAATGCTGCCAGCCGCTGCCGTAGCACGTTCATCTCGCGACGCTCTTATACGGACGCCGTCACACGTGGTCAAGTGGACGGCGAGGCTCGAAATTAGCCACATTTTAAGGATTTAGGCTACAGTTTTAATCTAAAGTATGTTATTTCGTAGTTCTTTTTATACATTTGAAGGGTTTGTTGTAGAGGTGGAAGTATAGATACTCAGCTGTGAGTTCAAATATGTTTTAGCATTTATCGAAATTTGTCAAGGTATATTTTTAAAATGAATTAATTATTCTGCGATGGGGCGTGACTTTCTTGCTTTTAGCTTTATTTTAACAAAATCCAACACAAATTCTTCATCAAATTTGCTACGAAAATTGAATTTGCTCCGATAATGACATCAATTTTTTGCAGAAACGCTGCATTTTTTGAACTGTATTTGAATATTACATATAATGTTGCGAAGGAATCCCGGTATTCGTATCTCTATTTAGGTTTCAATTAATACTCAAGGTGATTCTTGATGTTTACAAAGATTGATTTGAAAACCGTGAAATATTTTCGTCTCGCGCTACCGAGTTCTCATGATAGCGATGCAAACGACACGGTATATATTGCGTCTACTTGACCCAAATTTCGTTTCCGAGCTGCAGATAGCAAAAAAAAAGATAAAAGAAAAAAATATAGCAAAAAAGGTCAGGATAGCTGATAGCGACTTCTCGAGTGTTTTCGGCATGCATACATAAAACTCCAGAAATAAATTTCATTGGTGTAGAAGCATATCAATACTTTGATAGTAAAATACCACGAATTGAACTGAAGCTCTACCTTCTTACTTTGATGCAAACTGGAAGAACGTTTTTTTGTGGGGTTCATCGGTGGATTCTGAACATAACATAAAATATTATTCGCTGTTCCAAACGTTCAAAGAAAGACTGAAAATATAGTTCATCTATTAGGAATGTGATAGACAAATTGCGAAAATTTGACATTAAATGCAAATCGGAGTAAATTTCACCATTAAGAGATTTCAACAAAAACATGCTCAAAATTTACCATGAAGATGTACTTTCTCAGCGCAGTTTTAAATATTCCACAGATGCCAGATAATCAAAGTAGGGAAGATATGAGACATCGCGGACATATTTACAGGGTTCGCAGTCGCGTCCATTAGGTGTCGAGATACCAGCACCATCACCGCTTCAGCACATTCTAGAGATACGGCCAACGCTTGTCACTCACATGCGCTTTTAACCTATTGACAGGCGGATAATGGCTGGCTCATAGAAGGCCATTTACAGGCCAGCGATACGGCAATCGTGATTTTCAGTTGGAAAATGTTCGTCTTCTCTTTGCTCTTTTCAAACGAGCTTGATGAACATTTGGCTTGACGTGGTTCAGCATCTGATCGGTTTTCATTGACCAGTTTATTTAAAAAAAAATAATAAATATGTAAGACCTTGTAATTCGATCAAAATGAGTATGGTATGAATTTAATTTATTAGTAAATAATCATAAAATTTTGGGATAGAGTCGAAATAATTGTACATGAATGGTTAGAGGGCAACAAATGCCGATCAAAAAATATTCAATAATTCACAGTTGCAGCTAGTTGTGAATTCGAACAATTCCCAGTCCATGAACCGAGAACATGATTGCTGATCAACAACGAAATCGAAAAATTCAATAATAATTCGAATAATGGCAATCAAAATCCCAAAGCCTATTACTTCTAATATTTTTCAAATAAATTATAATCAACTTTTATATACCCATAGTGGATTTTTTTGTCTTTGATTGTTTTTTTTATAAAAATTTGGCAGTATTTTCCGAGCGTACAAAACACGCAAGAGATGCTGGAGAAATTGACGAACCAATGGGAACTGCCATCGGGCACAAAACGCATGAAACCTTAAAATGAATTTGCGTTGCAGATTTGCGACAAACTGTCATGTACAACATGGAAGCGTATCCATAAAAATCTTTTACATTCGGTTGAACTGAAAAAGTCACATCAGTGAGTGCTTCAGTAACTTGGCAAAAAATTCCGCAATTAAAAAGAAACACTGTTCTCTAAAAAGGAAAATTTTCGATGTTATGCAAACTCGCACACTTGAAAACAGAGATGAACACAGTAAATCTTGCTACCATTTAAATATATATTCTAATGTAATTTATTAGCAAAGAAGATGGACGTTCTGTTTTAATGATCGTTTGACAACATTAGCAACATGCAAAGCATGTAAAATAACAACTCATATATAGAATTGCATAAAATATAAATTTTTCGAGCATTGGCCATCAAAGGTAAATTAATTTTGTCCGTAAGCCTCGCGTATGAATCATTTTCAGGTTCCTATAAAGTATTTAAAGCTACGTCAAGGGAGGTAATTTTTATACCTGATTCGGACTAAACAATGAGGGACAAATCAAACAAATATATATATACAATCAAACAAATATATCAGCTAATGAAGTTGCTCACGAGTCAATGCAACAGGAAAACGGAGCGTTCAAGGAATTGCAACTACACCATCGCATCTTCCGTTCACGACTTGAGACATTCCAGAGAAATTTTGAAATTAAAACCTGCTTAAAGCCTGACTCGTCACTTGGCTGCTAGAAGGAACTTACCGAGCTTAAACAGTGCAAAATAATTTCCTCACATTTGCGATTTAACCTTACAGACCTTCTTGCCAAAAAAGTCCATAAAAATTCATATTTAACTGCGACTTTATGAACCAAATTGGAGCAACTTTACTGGACTCTAACGCTTCTGCACACAGTAATGCACTACGATTGATAGCGACAGCCTCGCTTTGAACGGGGTATACAATGCAGGTGATTCGTAAGCTAATTGAGCAATTATCTGATAGCGCAAAACATCTAAATTCGAAATGTCAAGACATAGGGGAAAGTTCCTTGTAAATACTGGGCAAATCTGGATTACTTAACTAGATACAAGCGTTGAATATCGAACACGAGACGCGTACACCACCGGGAACACGAATTCATGTACCACATGCACCCGAATTCTAGCAAATTATGATCAACCATTTTGGCATGGGTAATATCGAATAGTTTTTGTTCAAAATTTATTGAGACGTCTAACGTTCTTAAACGGTAGAAGAACGATACTTCAATTTGTTAATATATTTTCTTTGAATTTTTATAGTTGAATAAGAGTTAGAGCTCGGGGATGAGGAAGAACATTCGAATGAACTCAATAAATTGTCAGATCTATTCAATAATTCGTCAATAATTCCTTCCTCTTCATGAGTATTGGTGGCTACATTTGCTCATGCAATCATGCAAATTAATGATTAATTGGAAAATTAAAATTGGCTGTGGAAAGTTTGAACATAACAAATCGCAATATGAATAAGAGATGAAATATTTTGATAATGTGTGCAAACAGTAATGCCATAAGAAGGACATGAACCTTCTGTACTCCAAGAGAATTCATGATAAATGTTGAATTTAATGCTCTTTCGATACTCAATTATATTATGTATTAGCTGAAGCTGTTAAGCAATTAAATTGTCGAGATTAAATGCTTAAAAACGAAGAAACATCGACACAAATTCACTATATCCCTATTGAAAACGGTTGAATAAACCTTTGTGCTGCGGTCATATTTAAATTGACTGCTAAACGATGCAGCAATATGCTCTTTTTAAGAAAAACGAACGTCGTCAATATAACAAATTCAGGCATTTTTACCACGAAATCAAGCATTACTTTTTTATCTTTCATAACTTGTAACTTACTTCTACAGTCTGATAAAAACACAATGCATGTACGAACAAATATTTCAAGATAGGAATTTTTTCCGCTCCGGTTACAAGGCTTTGGCGCTCAGCAAGCGACCACCTACTGAACGTAAGCCGCAGCTCCAATGGCTGCTAATGAACTGACATCGGCCCATTGCGAGTATATTACTCCCATGCCCTTAATGAGCCGTGGTAGGCTTATAATTACGGCCTACCTTAGCCGTGCATGGCCAGCGTAAAGGCATACATAATTCACACAGTATTCAAACATCAACAAATTAAGAGAGATGAATGATCTTGGGTTATTGAAAGACCTACCTCTGCCAGGCTTCGTTAAACATTTAAAATAATCTTCGAAGCAATTGAGGTCCGGACACGAAAGCTTTTGATGATTTGTCTGCTTGGGCATGAGGTTGTATTTCATTTACTACGTCAAAAGCACCGCACCCAACCTCTTTTATGATTCATTGAGAGAATAAAGCGACAATTATAGTAAAACCTTTTGATTAAAAAATGAAGGGGACAGTAATACGACACGGCAGATGCGCTGGTTTTGCGCCTTTCTTTACACTGTGGTAAAAAAATATCCTGGGATTGTGCAGAATTTCCGCGATGCATAACCAATAGATTATATACAGCACAATTAATACTTTCTAAATAATTTATCATATAATCGTAAAAAGCACACAATGTAAATTAAAATAATCAGGTGAAAAATCGTTACGCGAGTTTTAAAGTTCCAAGGGATCTTACATTTATAGGAGAGCGAGAACAACCTACAAGAGAAAAGAGGTAAGAGAAAATAATGGCACGAATACTTTCATTCAGGCATAATAATCTTGGTGCTTGCTGCCGTGATTTATTCAGAAAATTCGCTTTAATTAGGTTATAAGTAAAAAGTTCCGTAAGATTGTAACTTAATATTTATGAAAATTTCTCTCAGTCACGACGAAAGCATTCGATAGTGTTGAATTGAAAACATTCACTTACGCAATGATTAATATTTCAATTGGACCCATTTAAACATGTCGAGCCTTCTTAAATATATGTTAGTTGTGCCAAAATAATTGGTTTCCTTGTGAATAGTTCAATTTAATTTATTTCTTGCCATTTCTTGCCATGATTCCGCGTCCAAAGAACTTAATGTGCATATTTACAATTCGTCAAATATTATTTTGAATAGTATGAGAAATTAGAATAAAAAGTAAGCAAGCAGTAATCAAAGCACAAGATAATGCGTGAATAATATTTTCTCTCGTTGGTAACGAAAGACGATAAGTTATGTCGAGGTTGTTATGTAAACCATGTGTGCTACCGTCAAGGTGTCAAACGCAGACCTACTGGCGACATTGATGGATTGTCCACGTGGCAGCTTTGTGGTTCACAAATGCAAACCTCGCCAAAAGACATAACCGCAGATTAAGATGGGAAAAATATTTTTTCAACCCTCACCTATTTAATCATTCTTTTGCTTAGGATAAACAAACATCTGTATGAATTTTGTGTCGCGTACTAACATTTTAATTCATTATTATTCTCATTTCCATCATTCCCTACACTCGAAATGTACCGAACAATTAAAAAAAATCATGTGTTTTCACTGTCGAAGCACGCATTACCAAATTTCTCCATTTATAACTAATGACAAATTAGAAAATTTCACTTGAAGAATAACTACTTTAAATTTATAAAATTAATTACAAACTTCTAAATGCGGCAATTTTTCATGAAAAAACACGGTATAATTGAGATTATTGGGCGAAGATATTCTACTCATATTCATACCAAGCCACAAAAAATGTCCATGAATACTTACGATCCTGTTCCGCGATACTGCGAAGTGGTCGCGTTCCTGCCGAAGGCGCTGAAGGAGCTCGTCGTTATTGTTCTCGAGTCGCTGCAGCATCTCATCTAGCTTGGTTACCGCCATGCGTCCAGGTCCCGGGTCTTCTGCAAACGAGGATCCAGCCTCACTCTCTTGATCTGTTGATCTGTTGAGGTATCCACTTCGGAGGTTGTCAACTCCAGAGTTCAAGTGACGACTCAACTCGTCCTGGTTAGGCATACGCGTGCCCTTTGGACGTCGATATTTGGGGTGGGCGTAAAATTTGGGTACCTGATCGCGGCGCTCCGTGGCTCGGTTTCTCTGCACCCTCAGCTCCAATAAGTCTTCCGGAGCGTTCGCTGGGTTCACAGATTGATTTGGACTGGGATATACGTAGCGGCCGGATGTGTATCGCCGCCCTTCGTTCCTGTTGCTGCCATTCAAGCTATCATTATTCTCTGACATAGGCCTATCAGCGTCAGACGAGCGTACGTTTGGCAACAGCAAGATTACTAACAGAGTTGTAATTTGGCGAGTCTTCATCATCCTCATGAAGACTCACTATTTATGTAAGCACGGTGAAGGAAAAAAACTGAGTTTATAAGTCGGTATATTCACGTTTGCTTGCAGCAATATTATATCATCCAATGTATTAATTATTATTAATAAGTTCTAATCACATGGACTATAAGCAAATAAAAAGCAATTTCACACGTCCGTCAATGGTCTGTCCTGTATCACAAGCACTAATGTAATTCAAACTGTCACACGCGTTAGAAAAGTTCGCCGTATTCTCCTAGGAAAAAGCAGTGGCATCCAGTGGCTCTCACTACACATCCAACCGCTGCGGCGTTCAGATCTCGACTGCACCTCGGCAACAGACTGTCTCGGCCGGAGTGAGGCGGGCAGGCGGTGTAGGATCAGGCAGGAGTGAGGCAAGGGGGCAGGCGGTAGGATCTGGCAGGAGTGACCGCTTCATTGTGGTGATGGCAGTGAAGGTCAATCGCCAGTGACTCCCTTGACGCCAAACCAGTCTTCGCCTGCACATATAATGCGTCCTCGTGTCTTGAGTTGCCAATGCAAATCTCGGGGGCAAATGTTGGTTCTGATGCTTGCATTAAAATTGTGATAAGAATATCTGGATTTTAAGTTCAATTTCTGATGTCAGAATTTCTCAGTTCGTCACTCAAGTATTAAAACATCTTAAAATTTAGTAACCTTTATTCGGATTGAGAGGTAAAATGCTTAATGCCTGCCACATCGCCTAAGAATTTAATATTTACTGATTGAATAGTTGTATTTTTCGTATTGTATAACGAAGTAAACTAATGAACTATTAACGAATATGATAGAAAACACTGTATAATCACGTGCAAATATACGAATTTTTTAGAGAACTGAATCCCTTCTCTCGACTTCTCTAACGGCCGAGTGAATTCGAATGGTCCGATCAATAAATTAATTGCCAGACTTTGTCGCTACCTAAAGGGTGTTTGGTAAAGGACGGTGTTCAGCCTCACGACTTTCACTTAGAATTTACCTCGCCAGGATCTCTAAAGCTGGACGTTCTCCTAAGTATCGCTGGAGGAGGAAGGAAAACTTGAGCTACACTTAAGATTTCTGACGCCAGCTAGACGGGAGGCCACAAAGAGAAAGTCGGCGACCTGCATGCCAGCTCGGCAATGCAGTTGAGCCCTCAGCATATCCTCCAGACAGCTGACGCCAGACAGCCGCTTAGTCACAACATCCGATCCGAGGAGTCAGAAAATGCAGCTGTACCCACGATCTATACACTGAATACTAACTAAAGAAAAATCGACGCGCTTATGAAGTCACATTGATCATGCAAGAACGTCTAAGGAGTGAGACAATGCAGTTCAATCTTCCAAGAAAATGCAGCTCTACCCACGATCTTCTCGCTGACCACCAACCGAATCAAGATCGGCACGGTTATAAAGTCATAATAGCCGTACACGAACGTCCAAGGAGCGAGACAATGCAGTTCAATCCTCCAATTAAATGCAGCTGTACCCAGGATCTATACACTGAATACTAACTGAATTAAGATCGGTACGATTATAAAGTCATAGTAGCCATGCACAAACGTCCAAGGAGTGAGACAATTAATTAAGTTCAAATTTTTTCCAAGAAAATGCGGCTGTAAGACGATTTACTCACTGACCACCAACTGAAGCAAGGTCGGCACGATTATGAAGTCATATCGCTCATGCAAGAACGTCCAAGGAGTGAGACAATGCAGTTCAATCCTCCAAGAAAATCTGCTGCACCCACGATCTACTCACTGACCACCAACTGAAACAAGATCGGCACCATTATGAAGTCACCGTGGTTATGCACAAAAGCCTGAGGTGTGACGCTATCCAGGTTAATCTCTCTATAGGACTGGCTCCAACAGCACTTGGAGCTTCCATGTTACAAGCAACTATCAGTCAATTCAATTCCTGCCCTGACAGCTCTCCTCGACGCTTCTGGAATGATAACTTTATTTTAAAATTTCATTCTTAATTATGACGCATCTTAATTTTACACCGTTACAATATTTGGTGCAGCCACCTTGTTAAGAACTGATTTTTATTATATGAACACCTTAATTCGTTCGCACTGAATGTGCCCAGCAACGCCTTGCTAGAACTTACGATAGTGAATCTATGTTCCAAAAGCACAAATTTACGCTGCTATCTTCACACTTATAGTATCTCAATATGACAAAAGGCCCAGTGAGTCAAACCTTCATTCGAATTCAGCAGGAGTTTCAACAAAGAATTATGTGAACGTTGCGGGAGAAAGACGCTGTAATTTACGTCATTCATTAAAGGGCAATGAATCAAAGGATGAGTATGTATGGCCCACTTGACCTACAATGTGAGTGTATGTACGTATAATCTATAAACAAATAAACAGACCTTCTCTGACGTCAGAAGGTATCAACGCTGCCAAACAAGGATGGGCTTCACTTCAAACTATTGCTGACTTAGAGGATCTTTGATTGACATAACCCTCTCAGAATGAGTACATATGACAATATTCATCGATAAACACACGCATTGAACAATGATAAAGCAGCAGTAAAATAGGAAACGTTTGAAATGCATAAGCTCGTTCTGAAATATCTTCTGAGTTCCAGGAGCAAGTCAATCCAAAATGAAGATTCACATTGAAAACGTAGTTTAATAGTAATGAAGCAATCAGACTATTTTATCCGACAGTTTACTTCTTTCACGCGTTTAGTACGAAAAGGAGAAAAATTGCGGCGCAAATGAAGGCAAGATAGTTAGTTGCACATAAACACTGGGGAGGACGAAGCTTTCTTTAACTTTACGTGCCGTGAAGTTTTGCCGTGTAAACGAGCACCACCGTAGCACTGAACTTATTATACAAATTATCTGTTTATTCAACTGAACATCAATCTAATACTTGTTGATCAGGATTTTTACCACACTTGTTCCTACGTTATGCGGGTGAAACTTTGCTAGCATCCAGCAGCCTCGAATTTATTGCTCCAGAACGTCCTCTGATCTCCAAATATTTATTTGGATTAAACTGCAGACCTGCAAGAGTTTTTACAAGGCCAGGTCATCTGGATTTATTCGTTCCAAGCTGTTGCTTTGTATGGATGCTACAACGATCAATCTCAAATAGTCAAACTAACCAAATTATAAAAAAAAATTGTTTAGGGGCTGTGCACCTTTATATCTTGCGCATAGTATTCAGCATCATTAAGGAAAGGACCAGCCTCCATGTACAGCGATTAATGTTGCTCGTCGATCGCGATTTAATTCCAATCTATTGACCCATGGGATCGGGATAACTGATCTTTCAATTTTAAAATCGTTTGTTCGTTTGCTCAGCCAAGATGCTTAGCCACGAAAGTATAATACCGCGACAACGAGCCAAGAGTTATTGAAATCTGCCATGTAGGTGTCGTGAATATTTTCTTGTCACTGAAAACAGTAGATTGTGTAATAAAATGCATTAGTGAGGCCAATTTAAAACTTTATTGATAAAAAATTAGACATAAACTTTGGGTGTAATCAAAGATGGGAAAAAATGATCAAAACAAATAAAGGATAGATAGAATTAGAACCACCAGCAACTTTACATTTCACCCACCAAATTAGAGTCAATTCACAGCGACGTGGAGTAACACTACAGAACTAGTAGGCGACACCACACAAAATGAAGAACCAAATGGCGTCTTGTGCCACTCCCTGGCGCTCCAGTTCTACAATGCATCTGTTATCTCTTAGCTTCGGTGACGCCAGTCAAAGCTTCGAATACACCAACAAACACACTAAAATTTACTTTAGATAATTTTGATGGCAATAAAAATATTAGAGTAGTTATCCAGATTCCGAAGGTGTTCAGTGAAAAATGAAGTTCGAAGTTGGGATAAGACCAATTTTTTATATCGAAGGTTCACCGACCTGGGGTTGTCTCGAAACATTTTATCTCTTAAAAAAGTTTAAGCGACAGAAAGTTTGGAGTAATATTTTATGCTGCGATCAGTTCAAATCCGCTTTAGTGATTGATAGTGCATAAGCGATGCTGCATTTGTAAACTAAATGAATCTTATAGTATACAAAGAAATTTTATGAAATTCTATTTAATTTAGCATACATCGTGTCTTTCGCTTGGCCTTAATATACAACACTAATAAATACGTTCCTTATCGAGTAAACTAAACTGGAAGAAAAAATCATCGTTCGTTAGTATCATCGTTAGTCATCATCATCATTTACGTTAGCATTTTACTAACAAAAAATACTAACGTAAATATTCTGTTCTCATGTCGGTTTAGCAACATATAGATAGTTGGAATATTCTGTCTTGGATACGAATTCATGAGGAAATTATCCCACGTTAGGTCGTAGGCCAGCTTCAAAGAATGCATCTTCTCGTTTATCTTAGGCCTGCTTGGTTTTCAACGTTGCGTGCATGTAATTCCTTAATTAACCAATAAATAATCAGTGCCAACATAAATTAGCTATCCAATGGCAGCGAATCATTTCTTTTAGGTATTGTTTAGTTTTCGTAAATGCAGTAGGCTGGAGAAGAATATCAACATTTTCTTCTTCTTTTTGCTCAGCATGTTTCGTTAGAGGAAAGCTTCACAAGTAGTGTCTTATGCAGGCCGTGTTTTGTGGGCATTAGATATCACCACACTTAAATTTGTTGTCGATTTTCCCGTGAAATATTGGAGCTGTAAAAACGCGTTTCTGAATAAATTATTAGGTGCATTCATTCCATGCTTAATGATGCATAGGTCTTTGGCGTCTAGTGCATTCATTCTGTGGCTAAATAATGCACGAATTGTCTCATTTGGTGCAATCATTCTGTACCAAATAACGCCATAATTTTCGGCATCTGGTGCAATTATTTTGTACGGAATAACGCCATAATAAGCGGCATTTAGTGAATTTATTTTGTACCGAAAAACGCCGTAATAAGCGGCATTTAGTGCAATCATTCTGTACCAAATAACGCCATAATATGCGGTATTTGGTGGGTTCATTTTTTACCGAATAACGCCATAATAAGCGGCACTTGGTGTATCAATTTTGTACCAAATAACACCGTAATAAGCGGCATTTGATGCAATTATATCGTACCGAATAAAGTCATAATTTGCGGCATTTGGTGCATTCATTTTGTACCGAATAACGACGTAATTTGCGGCATTTGCTGTATTCATTTTGTGCTGAATAATGCACAAGTCAGTGGCGCCCAGAGTACATCACTATGCAACTCCCTGCTTATGTCACATCGCCTTGTACGGCAGGGCGCGGCCACGTTTATCAGACTCAAGTGTCATCCTCTAAGACACACGCTCCCGAAATATTCTGTCGTCATGTCGACTCTGGTTAGGGTCAGTGAACTCTGCTAAATTTTCTATAACTCTTACTGAAACCAACACAAAATAGAGGATTAAATCGCTAATATTATTTTATTAATATATTCCAAGACAGATTAAAGCTGAACGAACATTAAAATGATAAATGGAATGGAATGAATGATAAATGGAATGGAATGAATGAGAAATGGAATGGAATGAATGAATTATTTAGTTAGCAATTGGTGACAAACCAAATCAAACATTTCGTACGTAAAATTTGAGATATTTTTAAGATAGTTTACGGTAAGCAAAAATGCTACTTTGTTCAACTTGCAAGCAAACTTGATCCTTTCTCAAGCCAAATACGTCAGCAACATAGCAAAGATAGTGACGCCATTCACAAGTTCCGTCATGTAGAAGATGCTTGCAGTGATTTCATTGCCTAACCGGCACCATAATCTCGCAAGCATTGCTTCATCAAAATTAGCCATTCACACGTCTTTTTTTACTGTCATTGCTCTGACGGAATTTGTGTTACTCAAATCAAATCTAGAATTTTATGCTGTTCGTCACTAATTACTAGGCTAAAGCAGTTTTTAGTTATTAATATTCGAGAAGGAGACAGGAATGGAATCTTTAGCAGAATATAACGTGGAACGGCAAAAAGTTTGTCTTTTGCCAAATAATTTAATAATAACGTTGTTAATTTTAGTTGATGAATTAATTTCATCTTAAAATTTGAACTGTGTGCAATGATCATAAAATTTTGGCTGGTATTTTATCATATCAAAGAAATAGATGGTAAGTAACTTGGATTTAATATTTCATCACATTTTCTGGCTCGTCGTTCATTTATGCCTTGGCCCAGTGGCGAAAATATTGTATCTGATACGGCCGCCCGATGCGTTCCTATCTCAAAGCCTGAGCGCGTCTCAAGTGCCTTGAGCTGGTAATATCAGGGTCCTGATTTGTAATCAATTATTATCGAGTAACATATGTTATTATTTCGCATCAGAATGCTGATTGTAGTCACGACTTCTAGTCTGAAGTCCAGTGCGCAGCGTAATGATGATGTCGATAGTAATCATTACTTGCCTATTACAAGTTATCATTAGTAATCATGCATGGCTTGAAATTGGACTAATTTAAAATTATAAGCTACACGTCCATTCAGAAACTTCGTCCATTTTACTTTTTGTTTGTGACCTTTATTATCATCAGAAATATTTCATGTCTCTAACGATGTGACCACGAAAATTACATAGATTTCAAATAGTCAAGTTTCATATCTCCATCCTCACTTCAAGACATATTTCCAGGTAATATGTATCCAAACTCGCCGTAAGACTCTGGATTATTGACAATATAAGTTGGCCAGAGGAATATAATCTTAATCGACGCGAGATCACAAGACATTCATTTGGAATAGTCGGACCTAATGAACTATTGGTTGTGAAATCTATTTGACTCTCGACATGCTCTAGGCATGCCAACTCGACTGGTTAGCATGCCTGGAGTGAATATGTATCGTTGAAGTTAGATTTGAAAATTATCGGGGATGAAGATTGAATTTGTATTACGTTTCAGTGAATTAGGTACAAGTAAAGTAAAAATTATTTAGAGATAAAAATAATGAGTGTGTTGCAGAATGAAGAAGGTCTCCCAGCGTAAAAGAAGAATTTTAAGCGAATACCTAGCATACAAGTCTTCAATAAATATTAACATGTAAAAAAATGCTACGTACCAACAAGACAAATATGCAAACCAAAGAAAAAATTTCTGCAGTAAAAAATAACCGGCATGTAAGAGGATCTAAGCTACGCAAATGCACGATACTCGATCGAGTATGAGAGAAATTAGCACACGTTAGTAGGTATATGCACTCGTAGCCAAGAAAGAGCTTTCTGCAGCAATGCAGATGAATAGCTCCATGTCAAACTCAAGTGCGATCGATGCCCTCATGCCGTCATCAATGTTTGTGGGTATAAGCTGCTAAGCTATAATAAGAACTTTCTCTGCTCCACTCTAAAGAAATAAACAGGCCTGGCTGAGTTTAAGACTTGATTGTCGATGCTACATACTAGTGTAATTGTCAGAACGTCTATTTAAATTGATTCATGTGATTGCAATATAGATGTCTGATTGTCTACGCTTAACGTCGGGCGGGATAGATGAAAGTCGTGGATGTCGAAAGCGATGGCTCTGCATGGAAGTGTAATTGATAAACCTTCTCTTGACGCTCGTAACTCATGAGTGAAAATCAAATTACCATTGATTTATCCCAGCGCAAATTGGTCGCTCCATAAAAGCATCATGCATTTTTTTGAAATTCTTCATTTTTAGGAATTATAAACTGTAAATTTAAATTTGAAAGATTATACAAGAGCATAAGAAACGCCAAGCAAGTTCGTCGTATCTTCATTGAAATAATATAATTTATTTATTCAACATTTCAGATAATTGAACTAATTTTCTTGAAAATTTTCAACTAAGGTGTACACCTTTCTTGACCTTTTCATTGCTTTTAAACTCTTGTCAAAACTAAATAACGAAACAGAATTGTTCCATCTTCTCTAGGTATACTCTTAGCAAATGTGGCTGATCAATGTTTAATAAAGAGTGTGATACCTCGAACCTATAGAGTGTTTCCTGCGCAGGGGGGGGCGTGAATGCTCATGTACACGTCGGGAACATTTGACGAGACTCAGATCTTCATTTCCTGTGAGCTAAGGAGAAGAAGAAGACGTTGTTGGAAATCCCGGTAGGGTTTCTCTCGATATTAGGCCGCCGTTTGTATGCTTAGAAAATCGGTCTTTTTATAAATGCATTTACATTTAATTGCAACATTCTCGACGTTGTACAATGTTATATTTTTGTTCACCGATGATATTTTTAAAATTTTGTTTATTACATCAACAGGCTGTGCACGAAACAGAAGAAAGGATCCTACCAAATTATGATCAATGTTCATTTAATTAATAGACAATTTAGTTCTTTATCATTGGAAACACTGTAAATTTTTCTTTTAAATAACAACACGAACGCAGTTTGCTGATGACGAAAGTGTTGCTAGCCAACGCAAGAGCTTAACCATGTATTTTAACGGTCTCATTGAAGCGCAACTAATTAAGATAAACACTGGTTCGATTCAATACTAGTTATCACATTATTTTAGAGACCAGGCGTGCCCTAGGAAACTGTGAAAATTTTTTCTTAATCTTTATAGGAAAAAATTGTTGAACACGTAGATAATACGATAAAGCGATTAAATCTTGAAAGGCGCACAAATAAAAGCCTGCTCGGAAGCCAGCACAATAGAATTGCACTTGCGAGAATCATTTTCTGGGTATGTTAATAAATTTTCTCTCTTCGATCAGTCAGGGAAGGTCCTATGAAAGGAAAGACATTAATTTTAATAAACAACTTGTTTTATTTTTGTGCTCATTCAACGGATATTAAGAAAACCTTTAATTGTAAGATTATTTACTGGCGCTCTTCATTGATTCACGCAGGGTAGTTGGTGTTGAAGACGAAGGCGCGGATCATGTCCAACGCGACGCTGGGCTTGTCTTCAGGAACCATGTGGCCCGCACCGCGAACCGTCAGGTAGTCTAGCAGCTCGAACCGCTTCACGAACCCGCCCACTTGTGGACCCGAGTACCACTCACGGTGGTCTTCGAGTACCTGCAATTGGTACACATCAGAGTAATGTTTCAGAGTGCAACCCCCTCGAAACCACTACCACTAGTCCTCGGGATCCACTACCACTGGAGACCTGGTCCTCGATTGTCAGGCTGGAAAAATATATTAAAAATTCCTGACCGCTAATTCTATTAGAATTAAACTATTTACAGGCGGAGGAACTATAAATGCACATTTAGCATTGAGACTAATTAGTAAATTTAAACGTTAATATTGTAATGAATGATAATATTAAAGTAGCAATGAATGTGCGACGAGACACTGTCTTTTCTGGCGCTTTTCAATGGATGGGAAGACGTTACAGTAAAGTTCAGGGCAAAAGAGTCGCGCCAGATATTTTAGGACAACGAAATTAAACCGAAGTCAAGATACAACTTTTTAATGCTCAAAAATGAATTGTGCTCATTAATAATCAATTACTCATAATAACGCAGGCATCCATATCCTCAAACTGCAATAATGGGATTTTTCAAGTCCCACTGATCCCAAAAGTTTTTTTTTTTAAGTTAGTATCGTTTTGACATTGAAAAACGAGTAAATTTTTTCCAAAAATAATTTATCCACTTGAAAGATAATACATTATTCTACATCGCATACCCAAATCCCATTAATATTGAGTCATTAATTGTATTTTGGGCTAGCGTTTGCATGCGATCGCCGAAGAATCTTGCGGCTTGATTAGATAACCTGTTCAGATAATTTCATAATGAACACTTCTTGAGACAGTAATATAATTTTCAGCTAAGAAAGAAATCATGAGTCCTGTGTTCTTCTTCACTTTACATTCCACTTCTCCGATAATGATTGAAAGTCTCCCATTTCATTCCTCATGAGGAACGTTTGCGCGGCCATCTTCAGAGGCCCTAACTCTTTTCTGCACCATTCTATTACTCATAATATTTACATCAAACGCTTCACTGATTTGGCAATGAATGTCAACTGATTTAAAGCCTTGGGTACGAAAAAACGCACGCATTCTGCAGTCGGTGGGATTCTCAATAGGTGTATAGGTATTTGAAATCGCGTTAATAGATGATAACTTGATCGGATGGTTCCGTAATGGCGGTTGTGGCTTCCCAACAGATGAAGTTACACGGCGCACATGCACGCCATGTAACATGCACACGGCTGCAGCGCGGCGGTGTTGCATTTTAAAAATAGTACTTACTCTTTGCCCCACTAATTAAGTAAACCTTGGTTTAAATATCTCGATTGCTTCTTTTACCTCTCATGGGAGTCTGAAAGTTTCCTCCCCCAGACCCTAAAGGGCGACTTTGGTAGAAAAGCAAACAGCCTAAAACGGAGTTTGCTCTAATTATTTTCGTTTGAGGAACGAAAACAATCTAATTAGAGCTCGGAGTTTTAGGCTGTGCTGAGACCACCTCCTCCCCAAACTTCTTTACACGGACAGTGCTACGATTGAAGGCAGGCAGACTACCCCAGCTGGCTGCTGCACCACTCAAGGTCAACGGTAGCAAAGCTGCCAAAGGCCGCTTTCTTCCTTTTTCTTTATCGCTACGATTAAATTCGAGGAAGAAACAATCTAAAGATCAAATAGAGCTTTAAAATGTTCAAAGCAAACAGCCTAAAACTCCGAGCTCTAATTAGATTGTTTTCGTTCCTCAAACGAAAATCTCTAAAGAACACGCTTCGTATTTATCGCCACGCGTTATTCACACACTCTCACCTGGTACCCTAAGTCGTCGACGAACCACTGGTCCCCGATGAAGTTGCAGGCCATGTCCCAGTCTCCATTGTAGACGAGACCACGAACACCAGCAGCAGACAACCGCAAGTACTGTGCCTTCATGTCCTCATACTGTCGGGAGTATAGCCTGCCCACCTGAAAAATATAGAATTTACTATATAATATAAAATCGTGGCTTCAATATAAATGTTCATTTCTTTTAGGAATCTTTTAGAATGGCGATAGCAATCCAGTATAAAGGAATAATTTTAAATAACGTGGATGAATTTTCAAGCTGAGAAATTGATTACCTGGTCACTGCAGACTTCCCAGACTTGGTCCACAGAGGCTGGGATGTGCAGAGCGTCCCTCACAGCAGCGGAGTTCATGTAGGTTCGCTCGACGGTGTAGTCAAGGCATGGAGGGTCGGACTTAGCGTCACGATTCCTGCGCAAGAAAGGAACAAAGGCTGAACTATGGAGAAAAGCAGACAAAGACAAAAAAATATTATTTTTCTTTCCGTGAATAATAACCAACCAAAATCAACTATGAGAATTAAAAAGCCACTGAGGTTAGGAAGAGGGTAGACAATTGAGATGATTTTTTCATTGCTTGCTACTGGTCCGGTAATGAACTGGGATTGAAGATGTCGAGAAAGTCAAAATTAGTATCGAAACTAAAACGAACTTTTCTAAAGAAATTAATAATGCTTGAGTTAAAAACACTATTCAGAACGCTAATTTACCTCAAACGATCATGGGTCCGGAAGAGATTGCTCTTGGCAACATCCATGGGAGTCAACTGCGAACCTGCCGTGCGAACGGCGGTCTGACAGTCCCCATAAAGACTGTAAGTGTTCAACCCTCGATTGTACACCGCCAAAAATATCTTGTCCACCTGCAAATGGCCGAAAAAAAATATAAATGCTACGTGAATGAAAGATCCCGCATACTTGTAAATAAAGAAAGAAAATAGAATAGCTTCCGAATAGAAAGAGTAGATGATATATATAATAGGAGAATAATTGCCCTCATGATTCGCTGTGGGTATCCCAGCATATATTAAGAGGTTTCTCGCCTGTCTTTTTCAAAGTACGCCACAGACAATTTCCATTTGAACTTAAAATTTTCTTTAATAACATAGGTTGTTATCTATTAATGCTTTTATTTATTTTATATTATTAATTTATTAATCTTCATTTTAATTTCAAAATTTTCCGGTTTAATTTCCAATCTTCAAGTGAAGTACGCTCCGGATATGGTGACTTTATGATAAATAATTAAGCAGCTCGAGTGCCATCATAATGTCTGATATGTATAAAACTTCTTACACAGATCACCAGATTAAATTGCCTCGACACATGGGATTGGTAATGTAGAGAAATGAATGTTTGAGTACTAGAACCGCCTTTATATTGTTGAACGTATATTTCAGACCGCGAATAAATGCTAAAACGAAAGATTTTCCCTTACATATTTAATTCACAAAAATGCCAAAAAATCTTAAAATAGATTAATACTCATTGACAGTTCTAAAGTTGGCTTATTTATTATAAAAAATTTTCTTCGCAAATTTAATTAATTCGGAAAATTGCCAACTAACTATCCTAATATTCATAACGTTCTCTTCAGCTTCAATCCTTCAATCAAAGAGCACGTACTGTGAATGGTAGATCAAGTGGAAAGTTATATTATTGGAATTAATTTACAAATAAGTTACAGACGAGAGTTATGTGAAGTGAACAACTGCAATTAAAAATGAATTTTAATGTACCAACAAATCATCACTAATAACCTGTTTTACATTTATTTATTAATAAATAATTTGTATTTTCAATAAAAAAATTTGTTTACTATTGTGAGAATTATATTCTCATGACATAAATATTTTTTTCAAGTCAAGATTTCTGTTCTCCATTAAAGTTGCTTGATAATATTAATTATGTGAGCGATTTTTTTTTGCGATTGACGCATAATTGCCAAATATTTTGGTTTTGACACCAATGTGAATATAAATTAAAACCAATTAGCACAAATCAAGCAATAAATTTACACTAACGTGAATAGATATTTGAAGAAATTAAAATGAATTATGGTAATTAAATTATTTTATCCGACAGTAATGGTAGCTCGCTGGGATAACGATTTCAATTCTAAGTGATGGTTATAGTTAGTTCAAATTTTCTGAAATCAATTAATACGACGAATAGCAATCAACACTGAGATCAAAGCAATAAACACTAAAGCCATGCAACAAGAGCAACAAAAATGTCTCTCACTCGTCAAATACGCATTGACTGCCCAGACTATAACCTTCAGCGTTCAGTGGGAATTATCAAGAGTAGCCGAGTTCACACCTGCAACTCGCACTGTGCGCTGTGGTCGGCGTAGAAGTTGCAGGCGTCCTGACTGGGCACGGCGCCCGCGCAGCACTCCGTCACCGTTGCATCCCATGTCCTGCCAACGGGAACAAGAAGTTAGGTACTTTTATTCTTGTTCGTAAATCCGTATACTATTCAGCTAAAAATCTACGGTAAATAACTAATATTGTGAATACATAATTTAAAATTTTGAGGGTTAATTAAGCAATCATCCAGCGATGGTTTACTTGGTGTATATTGTAACCAGGCAGTGTATTGTTTCTCAATGTAGAATGAAGAGTAGTTTCAAGAGGGACTATCAGAACGTCAAATCAACTTATGATTGGTGTAACAATTGAAATTATGTACTGAACATATTAAAAGATGTAATGTAATTAAAATTAATTAAAAGATGTAATGTAATGTAATCATAATGTAATTAAAAGATGCAATGAAGTTTTGGTTTTAGACAACTTATTTGAAGTTACACGCAAATCGTTGCTATTAATGCCTCCATTTTAACGATGGTAGTATAGTGATTGGATCATTTTTAACTAAGTAGTCTCTTCAAATCGATTGATCTGTAACCACACGTTTAAATTGTCAGGAAACTTTACTTGTCTGCCTGATAAAGGAACTACATGGTTAAACTAAAATGCAAGCATTTAAGTGAAATATTACACATCAGTAAAGTATGGGACAAAGATTCACTATACAAGTCAAAGCAATTATTGTCAACAAGTGTTAGACTAAGTCTCCCTCCTTACCTAAAATTGGGAGTTATTAGTGTAAATAGCGCTAGCCAAAAACTTACTCTTTTCCTAGTGTTGCTAAAAAATTCACTCTTTTCCAAGTGTTAGCCAAAAACTCACTCTTTTCCAGATGTCAGACAAAACCTCACTCTTTTCCTAGTGTTGCCAAAAACTCACTCTTTTCCTACAAGTCCGTGGTAGTTAGCAAAGAAGACGAGGCTGTTGTCGTTCATGGGGTAACTTGAGAGTCCGTTGCCAACCGCAAAGCCTTGGAAGTTGATGGGGTTGGTGTCATTGTTATCAACAATGCGCACAGACAAGGTGGGTACGTAGATGCCTCCGTAACTCTCACCGGTCACGAAGAACGCGTTTGATTTGTACGACGGAAACTGAATGGAACGATGATTGAATTCAAATTTTGTGTTGCCATATGATAAGGTTGAAATTTAACAATGCTCCTTAAAACACTGGCTTTAAAACCAATATTGAAACGCAGAAATATTTTGCTAAAAACAGACAAAATGATACCCAAAATTTTTTTTTTGCGCGCCAGGAACAGAATATGAGATTATAATCACGAAAAGGACTTTGAATTAATACTTTCTAAAAAAAACACAAATTTTCATGGTGTAAACTGCAATTTATTGGACTTAATTGGACATTGTGAACAAAAAGGTGTGAATTGACCCATAACAAAGAACTTAAAGGCAACAGATATATAAGTGAAAGTTGAATAATTTTGTATTTTACGAGGAGACATGGAAACGAAATTTATCTGAATAGATAAATTGAATTATTATTAGGCAATGTTTATCGTTTTCTTGTGGAGTCAATGATGAAAAATAAATTTCGCTCCAATAAACTGACTTCATGTGCATTTATTATGACTACCACCATCAGTTCATGAGCTTGTGTTTAAAATAAATCAATTAAATAATATTCTTTCCACCCTTAAATATTTGTTTAGGAACTTCTTTATTTCTTCAGGAACTTCTTTAAACCCGCCATTTACCCGTTCAAAGAATTGCAGTAGAGCGTTGTAGTTGTGCAGTGAAGTAGAATCGTCCGAAGCGGCACAATTTCCATCCACGTTATATGAATAGCCAACGCAAGCAGGAGCTTCCAAGTAGATCACATTGGCGAACTGGAGAGAGAGTTTTCGACGTTTAGCTTCATACTCATTAGATTAATCGCCTCCTGATGAGCTATCGAAATTTCAAAAGGCCTGCACTGCAGAATTGACTGAGAAATATACTGTTCTGTTGTGTATATAGACCATTGCATTACATCTTTTTACCTATAACTCCATTTTATTTCTTAATTTTTTGTAAGATTACGGCAGTAAAAATGAATAACTTTGTTAAAAACTAAATTATGTAATATTGATTTTTGATAATGCCAATTTAATCCAGTGATAACTTCTGATATCATTTACGTAAAGTTATTCTGAAGTAATATAATCTTTTGAGTTAGAAAATTATTAGACAGATAATATCATTAAAATTATGCAAATATCTGATATAATCAATTGGAAATAGGAACGGTGGTTTAGTCACAATTTTTCGTATGTGTAATTCATTATAAATTCTAATTTATCGATCAATTCAGTTATTATGCATAAAATACAGGCAATTTAGGCAAAGGATCTGTAATCCAACGTCCGTGTTGAACGGCAATATTTCACTGGATAATCTCTTTGTCGCCTATATAGGCTATTCAATCACTGTGTACAGATTTATTTTTGATTAACTAGTCACATTACACTATTATAATAACATGAATACAATTATTAGTAGGAATTTAATGACCGTGTTCCATGAGAAGGGGTTTTGGGTGAGCGTAGCCGCGTCGTCATTGACGGTGAAAGGCCCGAGCTCGGTGAGGAGGCCGTCGAGTGAAGAGCAGCCGGGGCCGCCGTTCAGCCAAAGCAGAAGAGGGTCGGTCGCGGGGTTGTTCTGCGACTCGATGAACCTGTGCATTAATTGAACGGGTATTGTGTATCAACTTAACAGTTGTAGAGTGGAAAAATTTTGTTGAAGTCGAGTCATGGGAATCAGTCATTAATTAGGTACTGTAGGGCAGAATATCAGCACAATATCTTCAGGTAATGTCCTAGCATGGTCCTACAGTACGTTTTTGCATTGTGGTTTAGTCCGTCACTGATAAGTAACATTGTACAATCACAACCTAATCAATAAATAATAAAAATCGATTAAAAGAAATTAATCACTAACCAGTAATGCAACATGTTGCCGTCACCACCGTCCAGATAACCGCTGTACTGCTTGTACGTAGCAGACGCGTCCAGCCCTGGCAGCGCCGTGATCTGATCGGCGTCAGCCTCGGGCGTCGTTTGGCTGAGCGCCTCACGCGCCATCGCCAGCGCGGCGAGCACCACGAACGTTGATACTTTTGAGAGCTTCATGACACTACCGTCTGAGGGAGGGCTTGCTATTGTTAGTAGGTAGAAGATGAGTTTAATTTTCAGAATATTATTTATAAAGAGCAGTTAGTGATAGGATCAATTTTGTTCCTCAGAAATGTTTGATTGTGCAGAAATTTATATAATTACTTGACCGATGTTTCGGCTCCAATATATTTGAGAAAAAATATGTCATCGTGTCTCAAGGCTACTAGAGGAAGGAGTCTAGCTTTGATGAACGCTCTTGAATTAACTATCTTTATTTATCTCTCAGTTTAGAAGAAAGTTCAATGTGGAGTTCTCGTGAAACCACAAACTGCGTTCGGCACAACCAAGACAACACACAAGATCGGCACAAACGCAGGAAATTGACACCCCGAAACCAAGATCGCGTTCAACGTGACTTTAGAGGCAAGATCCCAGGTTTAAGTTTTCTTTCGAAAGTTTCGCAAGAAAGACTACGGAAATTTTCGAACGAGTGCGTTGAACGAGGACGCTCTTAACATTTAACCAAATTTAGAAATGCTTGCATGCAAAACTTCAATGCGTGACACAAGTTTCTTAAGCTGCAACACAGAAGCATTTTAATTTGTAATTGAGCATGGCTCATCAATAAAATAATTGAGCATAAGTTTCAGTCAAGTTTTTTAATTGAAACGGAAGCTAGACGCTCAAGCCGCAAATCCGACAGACCGATGAAAAATACGCGTATCTTCAATACATTTTCGATCATCGAAATTCTTCTCTATCTTCTTGCAAACTGGAACATCGGAGCCTGAAACCTCTCAGCGCAGAGAAATTTTCGATCGAAACAGATAATTGTATTAGCTTACGCTCGCTGTGCATGTCGCCAATTTTAAACACTCATAACATTATGAACAGATGAAGCTATAATCACTTTTCACTTCATAAATTGAAGATAATTTCTAAATGATATACACTACCTCGGTTGCCCAAACCAGGAAAAACTCCCTGCCAGCCCAACATTGCAAAATATTTGTGCAAAACATACTTCCTTTTCTGGAAATAGGATAATCCACTCGCTCATGACGTGAACCTATGAAGCAGAGCTGCAAACGGATAGGAGGAAATTGCTTGACAAAAAAAGACGCTTATGCAATTAACGTTTGCTACATAAAGTGCTACTGAGCGCAAGATTGAAGAACGAATATATGGCATTTATATTTTTCAATATTGATTTGCGTTATTTACTTAATTTTAGTAATTTCTGAAAAACAATTATAACAATTTTTTACGCTTGAATATCATCATTCTGCGCTTCTACAACTCGTGAAATAACATATATGAATCACAATTGAATCAAAAATTATTTCAAATTTGTCGATCTTTTCAGCGCGTGAAATTTGAAAGAAGTTTGAATGTTTTCTTATTTTGAATGAAGGAATATTATGACGACTTCGGGCTCGAAAGTAAAACGTTCCGCATTTGAAAAACGTTCCGTAAACTTTCAAAACTTTCCGCATTTGAGCTCAATCGCCAAAAAGCACATAATTATTTGAGATAAACAAAAAATGTAATTCGACCTCCCAATTATATAGATATGAAATATTCGTAAAAAATAATAATTAGCTACTTAAAATTTTCACAATTTTTCGGACAGTGCACTCTCCTCAGAGTGAGATCAGAAACTCATCTGCCCCTCTGCATTGCTATGGTGACGGCTTTATTAGAACAGCTGAAGCCGCATCTGTTTTCTCCCACGCATTCCACGACAAATAATGGCTTAAAATACGAGTAGAAAATAAGGCACAGGAGGAATTACAATAAAAAACGGTTGAAGTTTGAATTTTAAATGAAATTTTCAGCGGGGATATTTACAAGGTGATCAAAAAATTTTCAACGAGCTACTATAACATCGGTGGATTAATCGCATTATGAATTTGTTATAAAGTTTTGTGTTACTTTCTTAAGCTTAAAAGTATATAATAAATTATTTCAAATGACTAGTAAGAAAATTTGCTAACAAGAAATGAAATACATTTAAATTTTAAAAAATACTTCCCGTTATCGTTGAGTAATTTTCGTTTCATTACTCAACAGACACAATAACATTCAAATAAATTGCATCCTCAAAATTGTTGTTCCCCCATTCGATGAAGCATCCAGTTAAAAACATTATTTTGGTTTGTGTCGTCATGTATAGAATAATTAAATACTATTATTTGTAAAGATCTTTCGAAGACAGAAATTGACTTGTAAATGACAGAACTTGATTAAAAACTATTCATAAATACACCAGCTGAAATCATCGCTGCGCTGAATATGGATAGAAATCAAGCAGAATATCTTAAAATGAGTGTAAGACTGTATAGGTATAAAATACCCGTCTATAACCCGAGGTATTATCGCGCCGCCAGCATTCGCATCAACTGCATCTCAATAACGTGGGAAAAATCACCTGCTTATCACGCTGGGGAAAACAGCCTTACTTGACAGTCATTCGAGGAAGGTCATTATAAGTCTAATTTTTAATAATCACCAAGTGACCTTACATACGTATATGATTTGCAGTATAAACTGCTCTCGAAGACTAGTGATATATGCATAGGGGAATTCAGTCCACTCTGGATTATAATGCTTATATATTGATATACTGGACTTTCATATTAAAATCTCGGCTTTTTGATCAGTTTTTTTAAGGTAATCATTTAAGGACGAGCGTGAAAACTCACTCTGAATAATTGTTCATCCACCGTGAGTTTGTTTACTGTTGCAACTTGATAATGCAGAAGAAATTATATTGTGGAAACGTTTTGTTATTTCTTTGTTTCTAATTTTACACGATCTTACTTACATGAAGAAGATACAGGTTCGAAGTTTGGTTTTCAAGTCACCGGCGGATGCACATGTCTTGAATGCTCCTTGTACAAAGGCCATATGGGCTATACAAGGGAATGCTTGTTGCCATACGCAAAGAAAAATTATTGGTGGAGCATGGATGATTATTGTTGGCTATAGGTGAAAATTATAGGTAGAGTACCGATGGCGCATCGATGCGGAATCGATGGCGTGTCCGCCCTATGTTCCAACTAAAACCTGCCGATGGCCACCCTACTCGGAAAACTCTTCTTCCATCAATAACTACCCATAACACCGGTGGTCCACTGATGACCACATTTCAAATGAAGTCCTAAAGTTTTTTCCTTTAGTTTCACATCCTAAGCATTTGCAGTTACTGATATTGCCTCACACGAGCACACATTCTGGTACTATGTATGCAAATCCACAATGGCACTACAAGCAACACTGTATGCAGACATGTAGCAAGAACAAGTTATCAGAAAACCGCGCACCTACCTCGAGCATGAGAAATCTATTTGAAGAAAATTCATTGACTGCAGGATTCGAACTCCTATCTCCCTCACGCGAAGCCATGCCTCCACCGTTGAGCCATCGAAGAGGACGTGGCCCTGAAATTATTTTAAAATATCAATTGAAGTATTGCAGGTATTAATTTCATCAAATGACAGATGTTAGTGCTAATGACGTGATGATTAGAAGGTTCCATTAACAATTTTAGTTGAACATTCTGTCATATTCGAGTAAACAGCTGCTGCAAGAAACTTCGTTTATCCATAACGAACGATGGTTTAGCTCAGAGTATAGGTAACGGGAAAATGCTTGATAAGTATCGAAGTTTCTTAATGTGAACATTACACCAATTCGGACAGAGGTTCGATTCGCAATATTCATACCAAGAATAAAAATAAAAATAAAAAATATAATAAATATAATAAAATATAAAAATAAAAAAAAATCTGCAATATTCTTATTATTGCATTCTTACCAAGAATATTGCAACGCCACCAAAACCGACGCCACTTCATCAGAAACGTTGATTGGGAATCAAAATACTTATCCGACGGAATAAGAAAACTTCCCCTAAATAATGAAATTTAACTATTCAAGTCAGCGATAGAAAACCGAATTTTCGCTCGTATCCCTTTGCGTAAAGAGGATAATTTTTGACAAACTAATTACCCGGAAAGTACATACGAAGCAGGACATGTTAAGGATTAGTAGGAAAGAAGTTCAACGCCGAAACGCGCCAACCCAACACGTCAGGTAATAGGCATGAACGACGTGTACTTCATCGACTTGCTAGCTATGCTTTAGAGATGCGCCGATGCCAAGCCGCTGTAGACTACGTCAACGTAGCTGTAGATAAATGCGAAAACTTAGGAATAATATAACTATTATGAAACAAACCTAATCGAACCATACAATTTATACTTAATGATACAATAAATGACTCTTAATTGATCGCAATATTTCAAACACAGCAAGTCGGTGCATACGTAAAATTCGCAATAAATTTCTGCAATAAATTAAGAGATTGAAAAATTGGATTCGCCATCACCTTTTCGAAAACTTTTTTTTACAATAAAATTTTCCACTGTTCCTCGGACAATTTATGTCAGGAGCAGTCTGATACATGTCCAGTGACTTCACTTTGGTTTTAAAAATTTGTGAACACCTTGCTTCTGTCAGTTTTACTCGTACCTACCGAATTCACGTTAAATTTTCGCTAAATTTACTTATACCAAAATCTTACACGCCAAGCATGCAGAACGAAGTCGTGGTTTCGTATTGACCTCGAATCACCCGCAACCCAATAACTCCGTTCTACGTTGGATAAATACTGTGGCAAATTCCTTCGCGTTGTGCAAAGTTTGGGCAAACGCTTATCGGTGGCTTAAAAAAGATTTACCAGCAATGCGCCATCGATGGTTCAGACCCTATAAATCATTGATGATTCATCGATGACTGCCCTTATTCTCGCCACCCTCTCAATTTTTAGGCGTTTTATTTTAGATTTTTGGCGGATCTGGCACCCACCGTTACTCCACCTATAATCTACATCGCCACTTATAATCATCGATGCGCCGCCTTTTTATGAGTAGTGACAAACGAATTATCATCTACTTGCACACGTAAATATGAATAAAATAATGGTCATTAAGATATAAACCTAATATTTTTAAATTTATCGATAGACGTTATTACTCCTGCAGTTTTA